ATAAACCACAAGTCCACAACACACTTAGAATATGGGAGCGTGTGTTGACCATTCCTATCGGCACACGACATGCTTTAGGGACACATGAGTACCGCATATAGATCTTGATAAAATCTGAAGTCCCATTATCGAGTGGAGAAGGATACCATGGACTTGCCGATGAAAGGGAAAACATATGGGCACGGAATGTGTTGAACATGAGACAAGAAGTCTCTCCCATTACAAGAGGTCAATTGGCGCCAAGCTCTTGGAGTCAATACCTCCAAGATTTCAGAATTTAGGATGTTTTCCCCCAAGTTATCCCTTTTCCCTTAGTTTATTTTAGTTTAGTTATGATGTATTGTTTGAATTTTATAATAAATGAAAGTTATTTTGTTTCTTCTAATCTAAAATCAAAATTGGAAAATAAGGCTTGAATGAATTATTGTGCATCACTTATGTGTCTCTTAGGCCTACCTCTGGCTCAACGAGACTCCTTTGCATTTAGGGCGTTTATCATAAAATAATGTGTTTGATATCCCAATTTATGCAATGTTCTAACTTGGACTTTGTTTTTCTTTTCTTTTTTTTTTTATTTTCTTTACCCTTTCCCAATGGTTGATCTGTAGGTTTACCACACACGATCAAAGGGTTTACTTCCTTCTCTTTCGACAGAGAATTTCAAAGGAAAAGTGAAAGCGACTAATGCTAGGATTATGCGTAAAACTATTGGAAAAAAATGTCTTTCAGATGAGTTGGTATCAAACTTTGCGCAGAAAATAAAGAAGTTAGAAGAAGAGTTGTTGGACATGCGTGAGTGGGCAAAGTTGTTACTCTCCGCAAATCCCACTTTGGAGACAAAACATGGATGTGTCACCTTTTGCAAGTCAAGTCCGTCTCCAAAATAATCCTCCTCAAGATTACTCTACCTCTAAAAGTCAACCAATCTCCATTTAAATGCCTCCAAAGAACATCCACTTTTCAAATCACCCATATCCTCCGCAACATCATACATAGTCTCCTAAACCCAAACTCCGTACCCGCATAATTCTGGCATACAAGTTGCTTGATATGAAACACCTCTGCACCAAGTTCCTTGGCATCATGCGCCTCTCATATCATTTCCAATCCTTCCATATCAAATGTCCCCGTACCAAAGGCCTCCTCGTCCATATCAACAGCCTACATATCCTAGTCACAATGCCAAAGTCGTCACTCCACCGCATATCCGCAAAAATCTCTTCAAGGTTGAGGAGAGACTTGAAAAAACTTATACTCCTCTAACTGAGCATATAGGCCAACTTTATGGAAAGTTGAGAATCGCTGGTCACATCGCTCCTATCAATGAATTAAAGATGACTACACATGCATCGTGGATTGAACCCTTTAAGGTTTGTGCTTATCATTCAGGAATGGAAGGACATACAATAGAAGAATGTTGTGATCTGAAAGACAAGATTCAACAACTGACTAATACTAAGGCCATATGTTTGGAGGACTTTGCAACAAAGAAAGTTCAAATGTGAACGCACCAAAGTATACTTGATCTAGTTTCCTAAGTAAGGCTTGCGTCATTTAAGTTCATATTTTCCACATTCAGACACCAATGATAACATATGGGCAAATAAAGTTGGTCAAAATCTACCATTTAATTTGTCGCTCAAGAATGTTATTAATATCTCGCTTATGCTCTCTTTGTAATTTGGAACTACGTTAGACCTGATTCTCGTTTAAGAGGGGATACGTAGGCGCTCCTATGGGGGTTCGGTGTTATAATAAAAAAAATTTCATTTTCCCTTTCTATTGATAACTAGGGCTGAATCTTTGAGAGGGTCACAAAAATTACATCGAGATTTCTCCTTGCACATCTCCATACTTGGGCAAAATTTTTGAGTAAACTCAAAAACTCCATCAAAAGCATTTCTTCTCAACAAATGTGGTAGAATTCTGAGGGGATCTCAAAATTGCTGAAAATCAAGACTGGATAGAAATTTTTGGAGAATCTCCAAAAAAAAAATTCAACAGTCAAGCTACAACTACAAAAAATCAAAATGATAGAAGTTCTACCCTGGGGCCAAAATATTAAGGGGATCTCAAAATTTTCGACAACACTCCGAAGAACATTCTATCAGACACCAAAGGAGCAAGTTGTGCCAAATCATAGATACAAATCAACCTCCCCCCTTTAAACTAACTATTTTTCTTTGAATGCAGAAAATATAGGTACATATACAAATTCAACTTCAACAATCAACATACCACTTTCGAGCCCGACAAATGACACTCGACCCTTCCAAAAAGGTGGACCCCCAAGCTACTGTACACCCTCAAGAAACTGTTGTGCTGGCAAATTACATTCTGCCCGATATTGCATCATTTGCACCTACGCCCAATATCGCATTATGCTCGAAGAACAACATCATTATATTATGCCCGATATTTCCAAAACGCATAATTGCATGTGCCCGAACAAATGCATCATTGCATGTGCTCGATATTGCATGCGCCCGAAGAAATGCATCATTGCATGTGCTCGATATTGCATGTGCCAGAAGAAATGCATCATTACATGTGCCCGATATTACATTGTTCCCAAAGAAACGCATCATTGCATGTGCCAACAATCCATGTGCCCGAAGAAATGTATCATTGCATTGTGCCCGAGACTGCATTGTGCCCGAAATTTGCATAAGCCCAAAACTGCATCGTGCTCGAAGTTTGCGTGTGCCCGAATCAAATCAAGTCACAAGTATCAATAGATTCCAAAAAAAGATACACTCTCTTTACTCATTACATATATTCCAAAGGCGTCATCCTCCAAAGGCATCATCTTTCATGGCCAACGGACTTTATATCATGGCTTGAGGACTTATTTTATGCTTAGCATCTTCCAAAGGCATCATAGTCAAAAGGCATCATCCTCATGGCCTGCATACATCATATCATGGCCTAACGGTTTGATTTTTGTCTATCATGATCCGAAGGTGTCATAGCCTAAAGGCGTCATTTTCATGGCCTACAGACAACATTTTCATGACCTGAGGATACATTTTGCGTATCATGGCCCTAGACATCATAGCCTAAGACGTCATTTTTTATGGTCTTAAGGCAAACATTTATGGTCAACATGGGAATTGCATCATGTTTACACTTACCGCTAATCACTATAATTAAGTTGTATTACAAGTTACAGATATGCAGATTACAGATAAAATCAACCGCCTTTTGAACAACCACCTTCATGCTTACAAACAAACACTGTCAAATTCTCGGCTACTCAAATTATCATTCGGCTACTCAGCTACCGTTCAGACTACCATGGAGATATTGTCAGACTCAACTCGCTACTGTGACCTACCTTTTCTTCAGTTGGGCTCGTCTGCCTCAAAATGACATTAAGACTCGTCCGCATTACAATAGGTCTTCTAGGATCGTCCGTCTTATAATGCGACATCTTGACTCATCCGCCTTACAACACGACATTTAGGCTCATCCTCCTTACAATGCGACATCTAGTCTCATCCGCCTTACAATGCGACATCTAGGCTTGTCCGCCTTACGACGTGACATTTAGGCTCGTCCTCCTTATAGGATATTTAGTCCCATCCGCCTTAAGAGGACACTTAGGCTCGTCCGCCTTAAAAGGACATTTAGGCCGTCTGCTTTAAAACAACATTTAGGCTCGTCCGCCTCATAAGATTATGTTCGTCCTCTTTCTAAGACAGTTAGGTCGTCAGCCTTAAAATTACACTTAGGTTCGTCCCCCTTAGAATGACGTTTACAACCAGACATTGCCTTCTATATTATTATATCGCTATATTATCAAATTTGTTGGAGTTTGACGTTATTCTTCGGAGATGGATTTCAATCCTTCAAGAAGTTAAGCCAAAGACTATCAAGGCTTGCACTACGTCTCAAAACAGATACGCTTTTATCACCTCTTGTAATTTATTTAGAACTCATATTTTATCATTGTTGGTCATACATTATCTATTTATAAGCTAAGATTTTATCTAGAATTTGCAGATATGATTGGTCGCCCCTTGATTACAATTATCATGCTATCATCTATCTCAAAAGCTTGCTCAAAAGCTGATAACCTCACTCTATCATGCTCTTCTTGCTTCTCTGTCATGGTCTTCTAGCCTCTTAATCTCTCTCTTCTCGCTACTCTAATGTTATCCATTCAAGCGAATATCTTGTCCTCTTAATACCTTAGCGCTCTTTCAACATTGAAGAGTTTCATTTGATCTTGAATCTAGAACTATACGCGACCTAATTCTTGTATAACCAGAGATATGTAGGAAGCTTAATACCAAAGTCTCGATCGTACCTTTTTTTCAACTCTACCTCGCTTAAATTGATTCCAATGACATCTGTCGTCGGTCGGACAAAATCAGCTACTAAGTCAACATTGGTTGCCTGACAATTCATTCTTTATTCTCAATTAACCAAGGGGCAGCTGTTGACACCCAATTTTGACCGACGTTTAACCATTTTTAGGATTACATTCGATTAAATACATATTTTTAAAAATTTATTTAAAGTTTAGAATTTTAATAGATTATGCTTGAAAATTATATTAATAAGTTCACTTAATAAAATTATTGTAAATATTATTAAAATATTTTTAAATCATTAATGAATTAAAATTTAGGTGATTTTAAATTATATAAAAAAATATTTTAAAAATATACCATTTTAATTAAACATTAATTACTAAATTTTCCTGAAAATCATTGAAATCCTAACCCATTTTATTATAAGATTTTCCAGTTCTAGCCACTCCACTTCAAATTTTATTCCAATCATAGCCACTCTTTCATTTCAATTCTAGCCAATTTAATTAAAATTTTAGTCATTCCATATTTTTCACAATCTAATTTCAAGACTTCATCTTTTGATCTCATCCGTTCATCTTTAAAATAAATCCTAGATTAAATACTAGTCGTCCATCTAAACTAATCTCATGGTTCAGATGTAACCTACCTATTCTAACTAAGAGATTCTAATTCCTAAAAAAGTTTTCATTCTCTTCTCCCTCCACTCTCTAGCAGCCTTCCCCTCTCTTCTCTCCCTTCATTCCAGCCGCCTCCACTTTCTCCCCCTCTCTTCTTCTTCCCTCTCCCGTCGTTCCTCCTCTCTCTCCCCCTTTTTCCGACCACCAAGCTGCCTTCCCTCTCTCCACCACCATCCTCCCTCTTCTCCTGTCCCTTTCGTATCACTTTTTCTTCCCCCCTCTTCCCTTCTCCCTCTCGTCTTCCTCCCCTTCTCCGTCTCCATTCTCTTCCTCTCATCTCTAAAATCAGCAACAGCCGCAACTTCGGCAGAGTTCCATGGCCACCAACAGCTCCGGCGAAGGGGACAACAATAACTCCAACAAGTGAGGATGAAAGCAGTTACCGACTTAGCTACAGTTTGCTGAGATCATCAATCAATTTATAATAAACGGATCTTTCAGATCCGTCGAGCCATTTTTTTCATTCTTTAATGAAACTATTACATTCTCTATGTTCGTCTTGTTGCTTTCTTAGAGTATATTACATGAAAATGTGGGATTCAACTCCTGATTTGAGGTCATAGTGTTTGTCACCGTTTGTGATTACTGGTGTTCTCCGGGTTTAAACCTCTTTATGCTAGAATGGATTAATTTTAGGTTTGCTTGACATTATACTGTTGCGATTGAAGATTCGTGGCTCATTGATTCTCTATCTGTGTTCTAATATGAAATTGCTTTCATTTGTCTAATTTGGTGGTGAATATGCCTGTTAAAGTTAGTCATTTGGCTAGCTTAATTTTGTAATAAACTGCTCTAAGTCTATGATTTGTGGAAGTTAGTTGTAATATATCCATGTAAGGGTGCTACATTCGTAGTAAGGAATGATGAACTAATGTTTGGTCCCTTTAATTGTGTTAAGCCGTAAACTGATTATTTCCTTAGTTAAGATGATTATAAGGTAAACTTTGATTGACTTCACTGTAAATTTGTTAAGGATATACATACTAGTGGATCCCAATTTATCTCTTCTCTTAAGCCTTATTTGCTTCCTTTGGTTAATTAGAACTTAAACCAATTTCCTACTTGCTTTATGTTTGAAAAATTGCCTTAAATCAATTCTAATTTTGGTCCTTCTTTATCTAATAAAATTTTTTCTCTTCCTTGGTTAATTTGGTAAAATATATTTTAAAAAAAAATATGATTCAATGCTATTATTTAAGTAAAATATATTAATTGATCATTTTTCCTTACTTGAAAAATGATTGATCTCTCAATTTTTTTAATAAAAAATAATTAAAATAAAATCTAATTTTTTACTCTTCTTTATTTCAGAAAAATATTTTTTGTTCCTAATTTTACTTCTTACTTAATTATTTTTGGTAATGGCATATTTTTTTAAAAAATCTGATTTTGGCTCCTCTTTATTTAAGGAAAATAAATATTACTCTCTTTAAATTTATTCTTACTTGCTTATATTTGGTAAAAAATAATTAAATTATTTTTCTGATTTTGGCCCTCCGCGAAAATAAGAAAATAGTTTAATAATTTACTCGTTAATTTATTTATTTTCTTATGTGCTCCTCCTCTTTGCTATATAATAAGACTCACTCCTCTCAATTTCAACACTAACTCTTGTTAAAAGTTCTCTCATTCTCTCATTGCACATGCACACATTCATTCTCTCAACTCATCACTCATTCTTCTAAAATAAGTGGTACCTTTTTCTTAACTCACTCTCATACTTGAATACTAATAATATTGCTCTACTCTTAAAAATAAGTTAAGATTCCGGCAAATATTCAAGTGCTTTTGCTACTTTGTTGTATTGGGATTACTCTGTCTCTATTGTTGATAATCTTTTCTGCATAATTGGTTAGTATTATTTATTAATTTTAATTTGATTTATTTACATAATTATAAATATTTGTGTGTTGAAAAACGAAACAACAAGGAAGCATCTAAGTTAGTTTCACTATCCTTTTACGTTTGATAATATAACTATGACTATTCTTTATTTCTTTTTGTGTGTTATTTACATATATATGAGAGTAATTTGCTACTATGAGTCTACTATATTACAATCATTTATCCATTGTATATGTGATAGCTTACCTATTCTAGCAGGTTTTGAACTTAAAGTTTAAGATGATGAAGAGTGGCCTAGAAGAAATTTCAGACGAAGCTTCATTTATTTTAATGTTTTGTATATTTTCATTCGTTATTTCTGTTACAATGAGTATAATTCTCTAACCCTACCTATATATATAAAATAAATTTGGGGTGGATCGCCTAAGGGGAGGGGAATTATGCAGTAATCGCCTCTTATTTGAAAACTTATTTGTGTTAGAAAAGCATGCCTATAGGTTCGTAATCTTATTTTGATAAAAATTTTATGTGATAAAGTATTTTTAGATCTAAACATAAAAAAAAGCAAATCATCTTCGCTCAGTCATTGAGTTTTTGCCCAATTAATGATTAAAGTCATATTTTTATTCAATTTGGAATATTAAGTAATGAGTTTTGGCTAATTTCTAAAAATGTTAAGAAAAAATAAATTATAAACATTTTGTATAAAGCTATTCATCGAATAAATTATGTTTATAGAATGTATGCATTCATATGTCATTAGGAGTTAGAAATTATGCATATAGGTGTTATTTAAATGTGTTGATTATTAAATCACCTAGGAATCATGTTTATAGGGAGTATTAACTAATTTTTTTTGCATTATTTCTTTTTACTTTGTCATTTTTAGTATATTAATCTCCTGAAAATCATGTCAATAGACTTGTAATTTTGCGTATTTTCTGTCATTTCAAACAAATATGCTTTATTGATTTATTGCATCTAATGAAACAGGTACCTCTTAAACAATTTTCTGCATTAAATAAAAATTTGCTACTGTTCTAATAATTATTTTTGCATATAATAAAATAACAGTCTAAGAAACATTTCTGTAATAAATATAATACTTTCTAATTTCTGCATAGTAATTATTTTTCTGCATAAATAATATCTTTTTAAAACATTAATAACCAATGTGTAAATCTGATAAGTGTTCTAAACAACAATTTTCTGCATTTAAACAAACTAGTCACTTAGAATAATTTTCTGCAATCTACTGCTCTTGAAATAAATTTTTGACCAAATAAATAATAACGTTGTTGTCCTATGTTATATTTTTTTCATTGATAGTGAATATTTCTGCTATTTTAAAATATATATGCATGTGTGATCATATCCTTTGCTACTTTGGAATAAAATAAAATATATTATGTCACTAATCATTGCCCACTTTAAAATTAGTTCAACATTAAAATGTACACCCATGTCATATTTTTTCTTCATAACTAATCTTTTTTTTTTGTTATTATAACATTGTATGCTCACACAATTAACATGAGACCTCTCACAATTATGTTGTTTGCAAGTATGTCTATTCAAACTTTAGAGGCCAAATTGAAACCTTGTGCTAAAATGACCGTCCTGTATGTCTTGTTTGTTTGACTTGATGTCTAGGAGGGCCTTATATTCTATTTTGTCTAAACCCACCCTTTAGGAGTTCATTGTCTTTTGGACAATCAAGTTGGGACGATTAGGCACCTTTTATGTATGAAATCCATGTGGTGGTGGCGTAGGGGTAGTTGGCCCTATGGAGATGATGACATCGACTCAGGTTTGAAAAACTAACCTTGGTTTTGTCTGTCCCTATACGGCAGCCCATTGGAAAATAAAAAGAAAGTCGAGTGTTGATCAAAAAAGTCTCTTAGAGTCTCCCTCCCTTTTATCCCTTAATTTGTTTGTTTAATAGTATATTTATTTGGGGAAGATTAAACTAAAACTAAGAAAATTGTTTGCTTATTTATTTGTCTCTTTTCTATCCTCTCGCTTATCTCTTTATTAATTGTTTAGTATATCTATTTTATTGTTATCACATAGACTTGCATGTTTAAATATTAATTAAGATAATAATGAGCTATTTTGATTCAACTTGTTTTTATATCACCTAGTCTCACATGTTAGATGATTTTAATCATTAATATTTTCTATCACCTAGCCTTTATTAATTAATCGGTCAAAATAATTAAATTACCTCATTTGTTTTATATTTCTTATCACCTAGACTTCACGTGTTTAATTAATAATAAATTAATCTTTATCGTTTAATATTATGTTGTCACTTAGCGAGCATGCTAATTAATTAACTAATAAATGAGTGTTCTTATTTGCTACTTGTAACCTCCACATAAATTGCATGAGATACGGCCGGGACCCATTTTGTGGACCTCTAGGGATGCCTAACACCTTCCCCTCGAGGTAATTTGAACCCTTACCCATTCTTTGGTTCGTTGATCTTAGTTAGACTAGTTAGGTTAGATAGGTGCCCTAACGCGCCTTAATTCATTAGGTGGTGACTCCTTAAACTCAAAATCCTAAAAGAGTTGTTAGGTTGTGCACAAAACCCGTTTTTTACTAAAACAGAGCGCGACAATGAGCATGAGAATATTCCTCAACCTAGTGGGAAACAATGGCCAGAGGTACTTCTCATATCGTCTGCACATCCATCCCAAGTACTATCTCAGAATCCGAGTAACTTGAAGCTTGAACACTTCTCAAACTTTCACCATAGTTAATAGTAACTTTGATATATCTCAATATTATATTTGTTGCTCTTAAATTACTTTGCTTGCACAGCACATAAAATAAGATAAGAGACTTGCAACAAATTAAATATCATACCTTGTTGTAGTGAGATACATTAAACATCCAATCAAGTTTCTATAATAACCTTCATCAACTTTGTTGTCTCCATCTTATTTATAAGGCTTCTCTTTTTTATTCATCGATGTGCTCATCGACTTGCATTCCCCCACCTGAAATTTCTTCAGAATTTCCTTTGCCTATTTCTTTTAGCAAATGAACACTCAACTTTGCTTTTCTTGATCTTTATTCTAAGAAAATAGGTCATAAGACCAAGATCTGCCATTTCAAAAACTTGCATCATTTCTCTTTTAAAATCCTCAACCAGCCTTGTATTATATCATGCTATCAGAAGATCATCAACATGAAGCGACATACTAAGTTTATAATTGTCTTTATGTTTTACATACAATACAAACTGGATGAAGATAAACTTTTTCCAAAGCCCAAGCTTAACAGATGATCATCTATCCTACTATACAAAGATCTTGGTGCTTTCTTTAGGCCAAACAAACCCGTTTTTAGAAGATAGACTTGGTCTTCATCACCGTGTTTCATAAATCTTGATGGTTGCTCGATATATATGTCGTTCTCCAGTATTCCCTTTAAGAAGGACGATTTGACATCGATTTGGAACACCTTACAGTCTATTTGTGTTGTTATTATGAGTAGCAATCTGGTTGTGTCTAATCTTGCAATCGGAGAAAGCCTATCACAGTAATTAACACCATACATTTGTGTGTACCATTTAACTACAACCATCACCTTGTATTTATTGATGGAACTATCTACATTTAACTTTATTTTGAAGACTCATCACACACCAATGACCTTTCTATCTCCAGGTTTGTCGACCAACACCCAAGTCTTATTTTTCAGAATCAAGAAGATCTCTTCGTCCATTGTTTTCTTCCGTATTGAGTTTTGAAAAGCTTCTATTGGACCATCAAGTTCATAGACGACGACATCACACCTTTGATAGATATTTGACAACAATAGTCTCCCTTTGAGTGAAGGATCATCTTCTAGTTGTTGCTGCAAGTGTTCTATTTTTTTTCTCTTCAGGAGGGGTTATGTTTGATTCTAGAGAGTATATTTCTAATTTCGAGAATTCTTCCAGTCCCACTATTCATTCTTACTAAAATGAACATCTTTTGTAATTGTGATATTTCCGGTTTGGAATGATAGACCTTGTAGGCTTTAGAAACTCCATTGTAACCCACATGGATGCCTATGATTGCCTTCTTGTCATGTTTTCACATTTAACCTAAGGAATATGAATAAAACAAACACAACCAAATACTTTTAGAAAAATTATTGAAGGCTTAAACCCATACAAAGCTTCAAATGGTTTTTTATCCTTCAAAGCTTTCGTTTGAAGTCAACTGTGCATAAAAGTTGTGATATTTGCTGCCTCTACCCAAAATATCTTAGGCAGCTCCTTCTCATGCAACATACATCTGGCCATCTCCATCATCAATCTTTTTCTTCTTTTACTAACACCATTTAGTTCTGGTGTGTATGGTGTTGTAACATGATGCACAATATCGGCCTCTCATATAATGAATCATATTTTGGTTAAGTGTATTCCTTCCCATTATTAGACCTCGAAGCTTGAATCTTATGATTGCTTTTATTTTCCACCTATTTCATTAATTTCCATAATGCACCAGCAACTTCTGACTAGAATTTCAAGAAAAAAGTCCAACACATTCTTGTAAAATTGTTAATGAAAAGCACGTATTAGATGATGCCTTGTAGTGATTGATTTCTTTGACGCCATGCGACATCAAAATGAACTAGTTGTAACTTTTGTGAGGCTAGGCTAGGTTGATTTGGGAAATGGTTTTTTGTGTTTCTTACCAAATTGGCAGGCTTGACATTCATTGGAATTTGCTTCTAGATCAGGTAAGCTCTCCATCATTTTAAACTTTTGCATTTGGACAAACCCTTGATAATGATAGTGCCCAAGCCTCTTATGTCATAGCTCAACAACATTTTCTTTTTTTGAATACAACATCTGCTTTTCCTCAAATGGACCTAACGAGAAATGTTTTCCTCTCATTTTGACTCTAAACAAGTCCTTCCTTAAGGGATCCTTGATAAAATAGTATTTATCTTCAAAATAAAGTTTGAAACCTTTTGTCTAACAATTGACCAACACTTTACAAGTTTTGGTCTTGGTCAGGTACATAAAGAACATTTTCTATTGTTTTTTTATATGCTTGTGTCTCAACTACAATAATTATCATTCCTTTTGTTTTAATGTGAAAACCATGCCCTATTAGAACATTTTCAACTCGACTAGGCTTCAATTCTTTGAAGAGTTCTTTTCATGAGTCATATGATTTGTGTGTCCTCTATCAATCAACCACAACTCGCTAGAAACATTGCTTGCAAAACATGATGCAACAAAGAGTTGATCATCCTCATGTTCATTTACAACTCGAGCATCTACATCCTGTTGGTGAGTTTTGTTCTTCCAAATTATTGCTTCAAGCCCAAACTGATTGCACTGACTACACTTAGCTACAGGCCTTCTCCAGTACTTGAAAGGTGTGTGTCTGATCTTGCCGCAATGCTTACAAGAAAAGTAGTTTCCTTTGAAGCTAACTGTTTTGTTTTTGTTATA